CCTTAAGAAAACTCAAATAACAAAGAAAAATATTGTTTTTGGATATTGAGAGAGAAAATATCAAATAAAGGTGTAGGTTTTAAAGTTCATTTTTAACGCAGGGTACCTGCCGTATTCCTCCAGTAAAGAGTTCAAAGACCATAACGTATACAATAATAATTTATTATACCCCCCGCTTGAAAAGCGGAAGAGTATATAGTAATCGTTAAGTCTGTCCGTCCGTCTGTCCGTCCTTCCGTCCGTCTGTTACGCTTTGGGGTAGCCATCCCTTATCCACAACTCCTCTCATACCACTTAATGAAATTTGATGAAACTTTCACAGAACCTTTATTACATATTGCCATTGTGCACCTCCTATTTTACGTTTTGATCCGACACATATTTTGGGTGTCCCGGCCACAGCAAAACATGGACTTTGCAATTATAACTATATGGAGGCGGGGGGTATCATTTAGTGAGCTCATCGCTCACAGTACCTCTAGTTTCCAATTGTGTCCTTTACTCTAGATTTCCTTTTCTTCAATTTTACGTCTCCTGCGGTGTTTAGAGTGTCTACTCTTAGAGTGGCGATGTAAGGAGTTGGCCCTTTTGGTCGTGGATTTGATTCCAAGTCGTTCTGATGAGTCTGAATAAACCCGAGGTCATGTGTCACAGAAGGTCCTGGCACAAAAAAGATTCCTCAATGCTCAATGGCCGTAAGGGCTGAGTATATAGGACGGATATGGAGATAACGAACAATATTCAATATCAAAGTCCATAAAACAATACAAAAGAGGAGCAGACCAAACACGACCTCAGTAACATCAGAGGCGGGATCAGGTGCCATAGGACATATATTTGCAGATATCCACCGGCAAGTGGTAGTGCCTGTATATGAGTGAAAAATTCTCGAGGGGGAAGTTAAACAATCTTCAATTTTACATCTTATCACACATCACATCAGGAGTATAAAAACTACCAATGGATTAAATCTCATTGAGCAGTCTTCGAAACTTTTCTAAAAATGAGATTTAAAGAAAATAATAATAGTATGAACTAAAGGAGAGGTTTTATTTGGAGTCCTTTCATTTTAATTATAATTTTTTATCTTATCTTTATTTGCTTGTTGTTTCACCAAAGAAAGGGATAATAAAAACTGAAAACTCCCGTTCCAAACATCAAAGATAATACAGTTGTGTTCATTAGGAGGATTCCATTTAATAAACTCGATACTTAATTAGAACTAGGAAAGATTTTTTTCAGTGTGAAATATTGATACTAGTCCCTATTTTGAACATTTGTAAAACAATTCTTTCATGACATGATAAATAAAAAGTAAAATAAAATAACATATCGATTCTTCCACGCGTCACTTTCCATTTGAGGACAAATGATTGTAAATAAAATGAATCTCATAAATGCGGCTAAAAGGACAGTAATTTTAACACTTCTTCATGAACTTTACATTGCTTAATGTTATATGATTAGTTGAGGCTTGAATTAGTGGGAGGACATATATCTTTATTTTTTTTTCTTAGAAGTTATTTATTTAAATCTGTTGTAGCAAAAGATAAAGTAAACAATTGCTGTCATATGTAATGTTGATTTTAAGGAAAGATGATACAAACAAATTTTTTCGTTGAATTTTATTAGGAAAAGCTAAATGGTAAATATCAGCTCATGTGATATAGCTAATTTTTTGTCATTTCCTCTTTAAAATCACCTGGCTTGGTATATTTTTCTTATGTTTATTACACCTTTAGCGCCAAGATAACATATTCTGAAATTTGCTTTCTCCTGTAAACCTTTACTGAATGAGTTTTGTCTATATTTGGTTTTTTATTGAAATATTACTAATATTTGCAAAGTCTTTTTCATTTTCCAGTTCTTCGGAGAATAAATTCTAAGAACCATCCACTTTTCTAACTTTGTGATGATATTAAATCTTCTTCAAAGAATAAATTTGTTTGTATCATCTGTCCTTAAGATTACATGAAGCATGGGAAAATAAATGAATCAAAGAATCAAATGACGTAGGTATGATGTTATTCATTGATGCTGAGGCATAATCTACGTGAAGCAAATAAATGAAGAGATTATGCTCGTTTATGTGTAATATTCCTCCTTAAATTCATTTCAGACAAACTGAACTTGTTATATATAAAATTATATGAGAAAACCGGAGAAAGTGGTAAGTGGTCCTTCAGTATAATAACCAGCACCATAGTAATGTTTGACCCACACCGCGTCTCCCTTCTGAATAGTTAACACCACCAGATTGGGACCCGCGTCGTCATAGTCATTACCAGTGCTATAGGCCATAGTTCTGACTTTAGTTGATCCATTCAACACAATGTCTACAAAAATAGTTTTTGCACCGTGGCCCTGAACATTCACGAAGAAGACATACATCCCGGTGATAGGAGCAGTAAATATTCCGGTACTAGGATTATATCCATTTCCAGCATTAGTGATAACAGAAGGGAATACCAAGGTTCCACTGTTCCATGATGAGCTGCTGGAAGAGACTGAGGCTGAGAAACCTACCTTCTTTGATTTATCTACAAATATAATTCAACATTAGTGGGTTTATTTTTTACTTATGAAAGATTACAGAAGATCCAATTATAAGGAATTATTATGTATGCATCAAATCAAAACTTAGCAATAGTTGATACATAATACTCAAATACCAGCTACTTCCTTTTGCAGAATGAAATTATAAGATTAAAACATAGAGGATTTGAAGCTACAGATCGCAAAGTACGACCCCTTATAGTGTTATCGCTTCTTACTAGCTATTTGCTCATTTATTTCAAGTTATTACCTAATACGTTATTTATCACATTCATTCGGAACACCTCGAGAGAGGCCACGGCAGAGGACAGCTGTAGTTTGTCATTCTTAGATTGTTTTACTTCCGCCATGTTCACTGAAATTTAAATGTGAGAAGAATAAATTTTCCGACATATATAGATCTATAACATGTGTATTTTGAGATCATTGATTATTATTATCATTAGAATTAATGAACGTTTGATGAATCAGATGTAACATTTTAAGCAACATCCAACATATCATATCACTCAACACATTACTGCAATTATTAATTAGATTTATCTCAGATAAGTGCATATAAAAACATCAAGTATGCATTTAATAAATTTTATTGTGGCGATAATTGGGCACGGCTGTTTATCCAGAGACACAAATTATGAAAAGCTATTGGTGTCTCTGGCAACACAACAAAGCAAATATTACATATTAAATATTCAAACTCAGGTTCAAAGTTCAAAGGTCAAAGTTCACAAACACCATATCAGAAAGTGGTAAAAGCCTTGACCCTGGGAGGTGCAGAGGTCAAGCACTTATTTATGTATATCTAAATCCAAAGTTTACTTTTCAACTTTCATGAGTTACATGACTGCATATAAGGATAGTTACTTAGTGCCGCTCGTTTACGCACATCTCAGCTGGAAAGAAACGGACAGCCGTACCGGATTCTATAAATTCACATTATTGTTCAATGTTTGCGGTTAGAGGAAATTTATTGGCTCCTGGAAATGATGCATGACTTGCTCTTGGGATAAATCACTTCCATATAAATGGCTGTTCCTCACATCACTTTTGCATTAAATATCTTGAAAGTCCAGAATGCTGCGAGTCCATCGAGATACTTGTGGTTCAATCCCCTTGGCAATGGGTGTTCCCTAAGGTCCTAGTTTCATCCCGTAAGTCCTGTCATGTTGAGCTTGATAATCACTGTAAGTCTTCGTCTGAAAGCATTAAAAAACCAGAAAAGCAATATCTATTCTAAATGGGTGAGGTGGGTGGGTGCTTCAAATTAATAATACACAATAACATGCTGGAAAATTTTTACCGACCCAAGATGATGCTGGAATATTGAAAAAGGAAGTTGCAACCAAAGCGCCCTCAGGTGTTTTTATTAAAAGGGGGAATGATCAACTAAAATATTTTACAAGAACGATAATCACTAGGAATAAGTACTGAGATTTAGGTAAAGCATTTAAATATGCACTTCCTTCGATAAAAGCAGCTAATTCAGAGTGAATTAGCTTTGAATATTATCTCAGATAAGTGCATATAAAAACATCAAGTATGTATTTAATAAATTTTATTGTGGCGATAATTGGGCACGGCTGTTTATCCAGAGACACAAATTATGAAAAGCTATTGGTGTCTCTGGCAACACAACAAAGCAAATATTACATATTAAATATTCAAACTCAGGTTCAAAGTTCAAAGGTCAAAGTTCACAAACACTATATCAGAAAGTGGTAAAAGCCTTGACCCTGGGAGGTGCAGAGGTCAAGCACTTATTTATGTATATCTAAATCCAAAGTTTACTTTTCAACTTTCATGAGTTACATGACTGCATATAAGGATAGTTACTTAGTGCCGCTCGTTTACGCCACAAGTTCCCAACCACAAGTTATTGTGGTAGGGAACTCCGCCACCATATGGGTGGGGGTAGAGCGGCAGAAGTAGCCATGCCCAAGCTAATACCTATCATGATTTATGAAATTGATTCCCTGTAAAATTAAACCTAACCCCAATTATACATGGATTCGATGTGATGTCCCTAGTAAAATAGTATAGATTTTGGCTATGAGTAGATCAAAGAAACATGTATGCATATCTATCACTACACATGTAGAAACCAGGAATATATAAGCAAAATACATAATTGAGAAACAGATTAAATATTTAAAATCTATTTTATATCTGAATTAAAAGGAAACTATACTAACCTTATTACTGTAAATTACCTATTTATTGGAATACAGCCGTACATGTATATCAAACTAACCTTATGAGAAAACCGGAGAAAACGAACGTTGTCAATCCAACTCGGATAAGTGTACATGTGACCATACAAAGGTGAACATTTTATTGAACAAGTACCCCCTGAATTTCTTTGAGTAGGATCATATGCTTGAGGGAAAGCATTCCCTAATGCCTGTTGAAATTTGTCTCAAGCCCTATATATTTTGATTGGCGCAATGGGACATTGTATTGAAATTTAGAATAAAAAACAAGGGCCTACCAATTGGAACGAAACGTTAAAATATGACCTACTTATGGGTTAAATCTACTAACATGGTCAGTAAAACGGCAATAGAATTTACAAAATCTAAACTTTAAAGAAGGTTTATCTGTGTTTAACAAACTAAGTTACAATTCTGGTTAAAGCTATACTGATTAGCAAACATGGCACAATACAGTTGATTTAGAAATAATATTTTAATATACCATATAATGGCTAAGCTAGCTTAGGACACCCTCACCACTAATATTCAGAGTTGGGAAATATGCCACACTTCCAGCAAGAAAGTAAATAATGTTCAAATTAGAATTTGTACGAGAAGTATGTCCAATCAATGACCAGTTGGAGCCATAAAAATTAATACTCAAGCATTTTTATGATTCTAAAGTTTTGCCAAAAATTAATTCCAATACACAATTGTAGACTTAGTGAACACTAGTGATCTTTTATGCTTCGCTGATTAAATAATATATTCTTGTAGTATATGAAATTAAAAGTAAATATTTGCACAAAACATAATAAATTGTTAAATTATTTGTTTTCTAAATAAATAAATGATAATCAGCTGCAAATCATATTTCGATTGTATGATGTACATGTATGTGATAAGTTTCATTTTCATAAAAATTGGAAAATAATTAGAACATGTAAAAGACTACAATGAAATAGGTGCAGATCTAGTAATTTTGTAGTGTGTGTACATTTTGAATGCTTAGTGTATGTAAAGGATGGAATCAATTATACATATACAACCATGCAGCTACATGCAGGTCATGATAATAGTTTTATTTTTTCATATGATCATGCAGTTTGTATAATGTAAATTAAGAGCTATAATTCAAACATAAGGGCATTGGGCAATTTTTTTTTTGTGTGTTGTGTATGTTTAAATTAGTGTATGTAAATTAAGGGCTGTATGAATTCGAATACACCAAGGGCAATGGGCAGCCAGCAATGAGCATGCCCCAAATCAAATAATCAAACATCAACAACACATATTCATGACATTCAAGATATTGTAGCTAGAGGTGACGATTAACATGATTAACAGTTGATGCATTGTGTATGTTTAGTGTACATGTATGTAAATTAAGGGCTGTATGAATTCAAATACAACAAGGGCAATGGGCAGCCAACAAGAGCATGCCCCAATCAAATATTCAAACAACGTCAAACAACACATATTCACAATATTCAACATAATTCATAAGCTACACATCAACAATGTAGCTGGGAGGTCATGATCAGATTTTTTTTTTTTTTTTGTAAAAATGCATTGTGTATGTTTATTGTATGTAAATTAATGGCTGTATGAATTCAAATTCAACAAGGGCAATGGGCAGCCAACAACGAGCATGCCCCAATCAAATATTCAAACAACACATATTCACAACATTCAACATAATTTATAAGCTACATATATAATAATGTAGCTGGAAGTTTTTTTTTTTTTTTTTTTTTTTTTTTTTAATGCATGTTTAATGTATGTATATTAAGGGCTGTATTCAAATACAACAAGGGCAATGGGCAGCCAACAACGAGCATGCCCCAATCAAATATTCAAACAATAACAAACAACACATATTCACAATATTCAACATTATTCATAAGCTACACATCAACAATGTAGCTGGGAGGTCATGATCAATTTTTTTTTTTTTTTTTTTTTTTAATGCAGTGTGTATGTTTTGTGAGGCATGATGCAAGATGTAAGTGTAAAATGCTCTGTGTGAGTAGTTGTGTTATAAATTTATAAGAATTTTTAGATGCATATGGACAATGGGCTTTATTTTGGAGGATTAATGTATTTAAATTGATTTTAGTGTAAAGGCTATTATAATAATACTTGTGCAATGTGCAACCTATAGATGCATGCATGTCTAAAACATTCATGAACGATATTTAAAAATAAACATTGTTGCTAACAAAGGAATCAGCTAAATAGATTGTCATGAATTGAAATTTTCCATTTTGTTAAACTGTTTAGGCTGTCTCTACAGTCTAGCACATCAGAGTTGCATTAAAAGTATGATTCAGTGTTTTCCTTAAAAACTGGTTACAAGGCAAATTGACCGCTTCAATTGACAAAAATGTTGCTTTGAAACAGAATTTAATGTTAGGTACTCGACTGATAATTTGTTCATAAACATCAGCTCCTAGCCTGTTACAACTGATCTCTAACCCCTTACTCTGAAATAAGGGAAAACACTGTATATGTATGGTGCCTAAACTCGTTAGACACTACCTATAAATTTAAAGAGAGGTTAAAAGGAGATATAGCAGAAATAAAACTGTTTACACTAAGTTAGGCAAAACCCTACACCAGGAATTATCATCAGATTCTACATGTATGATATGTTCCAGATTTCTACATGAGCACAACACTCCTGCTGGAAGTGGGTATAAATTTATCTGGCTAGAATTTGATAAAACCATCCAAAATATCGAGAGAAAATTTTAAATTGTATTTAGAATGTACCTTATTTTTATCTGAAATCCTTTTTTTTTTTTTTTTTTTTTTTAAATTAATTTGTCTTTGAAAATTTTTAAGCAGCAAAAATGTGAATATAGGGCTGATAAGGTACATATTCGATTCCTGACCTATAGGCTGCATGATGAATTGTACCCATTTGCTTGTCACAATTTGCAACCAGTAATTGTTGATTACAGAATTTTAAATATTGATCTGAATTGTAATTTATGAGAAATTTTTATAAATTAGTGCATCTCGGGCGGTCAGGAGCACGATTATTTCAAACACTGTTGAGAAACATGTCAAGTGTCAATTATGGTAATTTAAGTGATAATACCAATATTACTTATTTGTATTTTATAAACTTAACAATAGGTAAATAACAAGTTAATTTAAATTTCCCATGTCAGACTGATTTACAAGTCTGAAGAAGTCATGACTATATTAAAACAATTTTATCAATAAATAACTTGCTTTCAGTGCATTAATTTTATTTTATTTCCTGAATTTTACCATTAAAATGGAACCCCTGAATTGTTGTTCATCGAGAGCAAAATAAGAAGAATAAATCTATGCGCAATTCTAAAATTAAACTAAATTTATAAAGTTTCAATTCTGATATTGACTTAACGGACAGAAGTATTGTTCTTGATCCCACTTACCTTTTATGAAACCGATTCACAGGTAATAAAATATTTAGCGAATTAGTGGACTAAAACTGAAAGTAAACATTAAGTAGTGTTTTTCTTAACTGGAAGTTGAATGTTCATACTAAACTACAAAACCAAATCCGGGGAAAAATCACTTGTCAGATCGCTTAGTCTCGTTCAACCAGACCCTCGGCTGTCTCCGTAAATCTCCGACCACCCAGAGGGTCTGGTAAAGATACGTATTATCATTTGTGACGCCAAAACGAGGCTTACCGAAATTCTGGTAAAGTTTTTGATTGGCTGAGAAGAACACACCTACACGATTTAAATAAATACATGATAAATCAGCAGAAAAATAACTTAAAGATGTGTAAAAGTTATATGTCTAAAAGTTAAAGATGTTAGATAGGAATTGTTTACGGTAATGCCCACCAGTTATAGGTAAGTGTGTTTTATTATGTCTTGCAAATATTCTGTACGAAAGCAAAAGTGAAAGTAGTGTAGCCTTACCTGCGTAATACACATTCCTTCGATTGATAATGTAATTTCTCGTTTGGGGTCCCAAATTAAAGAATAGTTTATCAATATAAAGTCACAATCAAGAAGAAGAAACACATTTAACATTCGTTTTCAAAAAGGATCTTTAAAATGAAAACAAGATAGCGCCCTCTGACGGTTACAAACGCTTACGTGATTCTTTACCAGACTCTCTGCTGGTCGGAGTTTACGGAGACAGCCGAGCGTCTGGTTGAACGAGACTACAGATCGCTCAGCAAATACCCGGATAATTGCGGGGTCTAGAATAATCGTGTTAAAATATTAGTTATTAAATCAATCTAGTAAGTGCAAACGACCCTAGTTTTAAAATATCGATCATATCTAACTGCATCGACATGTAACGTTAATTTTAGAGTTACTCCCCAGTCCCGATTTTAATATTGAATATTAGGCTTGGCGCCGACCCCCCCCCCCCACATTTAACTATGTATTTTAAATACATTTTTATCTAACTAGACCTTCTATTTATAACTAAGACCCCATCTAACAAGCTTTACAGAATGTCCACGCCCCCCCCCCCCCGGAAATCCATTAACATCGGGGACAAGTGGCTTACTATACCTAATCCTATATTAAAAGCTGAAAATATCACTTTTTAAAATACCTTCTCCAAATCAGTTAATAATTTCAATGACTGCTTCAAATTAATAATACACAATAACATGCTGGAAAATTTTTACCGACCCAAGATGATGCTGGAATATTGAAAAAGGAAGTTGCAACCAAAGCGCCCTCAGGTGTTTTTATTAAAAGGGGGAATGATCAACTAAAATATTTTACAAGAACGATAATCACTAGGAATAAGTACTGAGATTTAGGTAAAGCATTTAAATATGCACTTCCTTCGATAAAAGCAGCTAAATCAGAGTGAATTAGCTTTGAATAATATTTTTAATCCAAACTAAACAATGTTTTACACTTTTCGATGAAATGCTTTTTAAAAAATATGGAAAAAGAGTTATTGAGAATTATCAAAATGAAGCTTGAAAGACATTTTTTGTGCTATACGTTTTATTTATTCATTTTTTTGTAACTTAATACATGTAGAAGGCAAGACTAATCAAAGTATTGAAAGAATTGAAAACCGGGATTTAATTCTTCGAGTATATAGTCTGATCTAAAATAAGTACATTTTTAATTTGTTTTCCTTTTTGCCATTGATTTTCAACAGGTAGAGTTTGTATGATGATGATTTAAAACAACTTCTCATATACCAGTAATTAAAATTAACAGTCCAGACCCCCAATATATGTTATGATTTTCATAATATTTCCAAGAAATTATCGCATATTTTCTATTCAATAAGCATTTTTTCTTACAAATTAAAAAAATCAGTATTAGAATAGTGAAAATAGAGAACATGTGTATTTTAAATTTTAAATTCTTAAAAGTTTCAAACAAACAGTACTTTCGCCGTCAACTACATGTAGAATCACTGATGCATGTAAATTGTCAAGCGACCTCACGCATGTTTATTCTTAAACGCCCAATTCACCATATTATCAAATTGCTAAAAGTCAAAACAGAATACAACCACTAACAAGACATCAACGAGAACAACGTGAAACATGAAACTCTTCAACAATTTCAATATTTCGAAAAGCCCGCGCTATTGAAAATAGTCCGCTTACAATATACATTCAGTAGCGTATGTGAACAAATTGTTATATCACGATTATCCCAAGAAAGCAAATATCAATTTCTTTTTAGTTTAATTTTAAGCGAAAATATTGATCATTAACTTTACCAACCAACTTAAAATATTTGTTTCAATATCGTCTCGGGACTATTTTGTTCATCGGAAGTGTCTGATTTGACACTGTTTGGTTTTTTGTTTTCTGTGCTATTTTTAGTAAGACAGATAAAGCCAGGACTAAAAATCCATTTTTGAAGAAGACATTCTCCTCAAAATACAACTTTTATTTAATAATAATTATTTATAATAAACATTTTTTTTTTAAATTATCAGTATATACACGTTGCTTTGTGAGCCTAGTAACACTTTTCATGAGTATTTTAAATTAATTAACTACTGAACTGTAAAATCCATAGGAATGTCTTACATTAAAACATAGATTATGCATTCAGTTTTATGTGTGTTCATTTATTTATAAATGCTCTCAATCAGTGATGAACCTAAAATAAAAAGAAATCAAATTCTGCTTTAAATGTTCATTTACTTTATGTCCTTTTTTCTTCATTTAGAGAAACTTTTGTTAAAAGATAGTGTAATTAATAGCAATCCTTTTTGAAAACTAAACCTTTGAGAGAACGTTTTTCTCAAGAGACAATATTCCTAAAAAATGTGCCCTTTGTGCAATTCCTTTCACCATGAAGATTCAAACTATTTATAAGATCTTATACAAAGCAAAAAATAAACTTACCAGATATAGAATTTTGTCTATTTTTTGTGAGTTCTCAAGGTCAGACACTGATTGAAGCATTGTTTTATTTGTTGTCATTATATCCTTGTTTAAGTTCTCCACAGAAGTGTTCAATCTCAAAGATAATTGTTCATATTTTTTCAGCATCATTTCCGGGAATTTCTTATCAATGTCCAAAGTATGTTTATTTAAGTCCAAAAGAGTCACTGACAGGTACCGAACTTCAACTTTAAGATCCGCAAGTACTACACTAGTGTTGGTCTCAAAACGTTCTCTTTTATCCTCCAACTCTTCCACAATCTGTTGAATGTGTTCGTCGACTTTGGTGAAATTTTCTGTAACAGCTCTGAAAGTTTCTTCATAGCGCCTGTTTTTTAGCTCGAGTCTTTGGTTTTCTCTTTTTAGTTTCTCAACCACCTGTTTTAAGGCGGCCACTTGTTCATCTGTATTCTTCTGGGATGTTTCCAATGTGTTCATACTTTTCTTCATATCGATCATGTCCTTCATTAAGGCGTGAATGTTCTTCACCAGTGACATTCTAATGATTGTTTCTTGGTTCAGTAATTGTCGGAAGACGTCCGTATTTTTCGAGTCCGTGTCACTGATGTCCAGCAGAGATGAACTGTTGCCACTGCTGTCCGTGAATATGGACTATCCATTTATTTGTATGAGAAAAGCAAACAATAACGTAAACAGAAGTGCTTGCTTCATGTTGAAAATCAGAAAAGTGATATCGGACCAAATATAAAATTGCAAATATATGCAAATTTATACATTTGCATATAAACTTTGACCTTTTCTATTGCATGACACATGCGCAAAATGCAAATTTGTTAAGCATGAGTTGGTAGAAATTAAAACCGTTTTCTTCTTTTATTGACGTAAGTTAACTTCCTCTTTAACGTTTTTGTTCTTTTCATCATGACGTTAAAAGAAATTCTTATAGAAGTAAAAGTCAGATAAAGAATATTTGAAATGTACGTTTATGTTAAAAGAAAAAGCTTCGATGACGACATTTTCTTCAGTATTGAAAAATGTTTATATTCTTATTGATTTTGTTTGAATTATATTCTTTTTTGGGTGTGGGGGGTGTGGGGTCTTTTCATTCCATAGAATAAAAAGGGAAATTTATCTCAAAGTATATGACCGGTTTTTTTATACTCATTGCTTAGGCCATAAAAGGACATGGACATATTTTCAACTGATTCTTTAAAAATCAAAGATAATGTTCATAATTCCTAATAACATGTGTAATTAAGCTTTTCAATTGATCAGCAAAATTTGAACATCCTTTGTTGATTTACACAATAGATACAAAACATAAATTCTACACTATATCAAAGCCCGTGCCTTGTTTTTGTTTACATATTGAAAATGTTTATAACGAAACAAGATTCAGTAAATCATAAGAAACTGTATAATGGTACTGTATTTAGGATTAACTTCTTTATTGGAAAATAATCTGCATATTAGTATATTTAACCTATGTAAATAAAAACCTGACACGGGCCTTCTTTGCATAACAAAGGTTTTTCTCCACAACTGAGACTCAAATTTTTGATAATCATCAAAAATACCTTAGTTAGGCAATTGTTAGCACAAAAAACATGTAAAATGTAAATTTGAAAATTGTCAGCTTGAACTTGACCATGTCCCTTTAATACCTTTAGCATTTTAAAAATTTCCAGGTTAATGTGTTTAAGGGAGAATAAATGCCTTAACATGTGCTCACAATACAATTTTAACATAGACCGTTATTATTTTGATAAATGTTATTTTGTAGTCTCTTTTCAAGCCTTCTATATAAACCTATATGTAATCTTCCTGCAGTACTAGTAAAAGCAGTGAATTACCAATGGTCGAAGAGATTCATTTAAGGATTCATATTATTTTAGTAATTTTGCGTTTGTTCATGATTTGAAGTTTACAAATATTCCATTTGTAATTTCCTAAATAGCTTTAACCCTTTCCCT